TCATTAGCTATCAAGATGGGTTACAACCATGAGGGAGGCGCAACGACCTAAAAAACTCCGCCTCTACGATCAGCGCAGAATTTACCTACAAGTCTATCAAATACGATGTGTCAGAAGCAGTCGGTGCCCAGAGCGACAATCGCATCGGTCCAGAGAGAATGGGCCTGTCGACAGTATGGAGCAGCTATCCTCAGGGTCACTAATCACGTTTTCATATCATGGTACACTTGAAAGAGCAGTAATGAGTAATGTAATGGAGTTTGTGCTAACCCGCCATCAGAATCTTAATGGGATGAATGAAAATGCATCAAAAAGGCATCCGTTGACAAACGTATTCCTACGAACCTTGGATGACGTCGAGGAGTGCTCCAGAGATTTCATCGAACGGAGCACTGACCGCGTGATCGTAAACCTTCCTCAACCAGCTTTCGCTTACATACACTATGCATCCGGATTTGAGCACAACATCGCGGAAGCTTTCCTGCAAAGAAAAGCCCACCATTCAAGACCATTTCCAAGCACAAGTCCAACTGATACCCAAGGCAAGATGTCCTCGCCACGATAAGCAAGGCAGAGCGTTGCGTAAGCAGTGATAAAGATGGCGTCTGTATTGAGGAATTCCTGCTGGATTTTCGATTTCGACTTGAACGCCTCGTTATGGACTGCGGAAAAGTCTGAGAGATCCTTTAGTGAGCGTTTGTCCTACAGACATGTATCTAAAGTTGATCTGACCATTATAGAACCCTGATGAGAATTCCAGGATGGCCTCGTCCAGTTCGAGCGTCGATTTGAATTTACTCCAAGTGAGCACATTGTCCACTAGAGAATCCACAAATTTTTGTGCGGTGATCTTTTCTATCTAAAAACAAAAATGACATGGAACATGCAGATATGTAAATAAACAAAAAATAAGTAAGCAAACAGATGAGTATATATGGCGCCTAAGTATACAATCGTAAACAAGGTTGACTTGATCATTGTGCTTCTCTCGATTGTGTTTGAAGTGAAAAATTAAAGTGCGTTGGACAGGCTGCACCGGTTTTCTGATAAAAGCCTCGACAAAACTGCAACAAAAGTCACTTTGAAAGCCGTCCACCCAGGTGATGTAGGTGGAGTCAGGCCTATCATCGTCCTTCCCAACTAGTGCGCTCCACTTTTTCAGACGGTAAAGGGGGAAGACTGCGAAAGAGGAGGGCAAAGATAGATTTGATTCAGCCACTACTCTCGGCGTGAAGCGTGCCACTTCCTTTACACAGGTATTCAGTTGATTTTAAGTTTCTCCACTATCTCATTTATTTCCTGAGGGCCTCAGAATCCCCTTAGAAGGAGCAGTACTTCACGCTAGTCGTTTTGGCAAAGCCAGCCACCTATCGTGCCTTTCTCAATGGTGCATCCATCCTCCTCCCCTCTTGGAAAGGGGAGGGTGTGCACAACGAAAAAAAGGTAAACGTTAGGGCTGACTCCGCTCACATAATAGCGAGGGCTGCGCCATGAAGTCAGTGTCACTGTTTAAACCCGAATCGCCGAATTCAATATTGGACAAATCAGACGCTGAGCTTTCGCACTGACTTTATCACTGAAGTCAGTTGGGGCCTGTCAGCGGCCGGTAAATGGAAGCGGTGTCAGTCCCTTTTCCACTAATCGATGAACAACAGAAACCGCAGCGACTGATGAAAAACGGGCTGTCGCCGGGCCAAACCCATGTCCCGCTGACACGGCTTGACTGACTTCAGTAGAAACGCCAGTTAATATTTATATTTGGAGAAGTAATTCCGGTGAAGAGCACTAACCGTAATCGTCATATTACCGCTCGCTCCGCCCCGTCGAACTATCGGCATTGGCGACACTTCGTCATCAAGCGATCGCTGTAGGCCAAACTTTTTCGACAGTCTCTTCAATGTCTCACTCATATCCTGCACGAAAATCAAGGTCAGATGTTTTCCCTCATTTTAAAGGCAGTTGGCACGATGGTTTCCTACTTAGCCTAAAATGCTAGTAGGGCGCTGTATAGTGGGGAAATGGCGAAAGAACGGAGTGAAACGGCAATCTGCGAAGAAAAAGTCTCCGTTCTCAGTGACTTGTAAATCGATTTCGGACGAGTTTCCCGTAGGCATCTTGCCAATCACCGCTACCGAAGGTACGGCTGCATATGTGTACCCATATATGCAATGCGGCATTCACGGCCGCCTTTCATACCAATGCTTTTCACTGCCCTTCGCTTAATAATTTGCTTAGCAAATGAATCGATTAGAGCGCAGGAACGGTCGTCCATTTGTGGGCGGGCGGGCGTTTGGGACGTGAAGTGTGGATGATAAGGCCCTATAAGGGGCACCTTCTTCGGGGAAACCGCTATGCAGCGCCTGCCCAGGGTCGCGGAATTCTATCCTGCCAGGAGTATTGATCCTAGTCGTCTTGGGGATTTATCGTGCCAACTGCCTTTAAAGCTGGGTCAATCGTAACCAACGTCTTCTGCCATTGCAGCTTCACTGGCTTCACTCTGCCTCTGAGAAGGAGTCGGTGGTGGAAGGGGACTGCACTGGCCAACATCAGAGCGAGACGTGAAACCTGCAGATGTATTACTTTGAGAAGTCAAATTATCAAACATTGGTCGAGCTCCAAAAGTGGAAAAAGGCGATTTGGCTTGATAGGGGCACCAAATGGTACACGGCGAAGACTGCACAATTAGAAACAAAGAAAAACAAAACATTGGAAAAAGAATACACTCCAAAGCACAGATGATCCGTTTCGCCCGTCACAAGCCACTTTGTAAAGTATTGTAAGCTCTTGCAACCAAATGACTCACTTCCACCATTGGGCAGCAAGAGTCTACAGGTGTTGGCTGTTGGTTAACATGAACTAACAAAGGAAACAAGCAAACGTGCAAAATGCCCCTACCAAGCCGGACAGCGCTATGAAAAAATGGACGAACTTGGTGGATTCACGTCAGCTAACGACGGGAACATTTCTCTGAGCTTACATCTCGTTTCGTCGTCCAAAAGATCAGGTGACTCACAGTAGGTCAGAATTCCTTGTAGCTGAAAGGGTTACGTAGCACTTTCGGAGTAAACGGCTAAGTTTCGATTACCACAGAGAGCAGGACAGCTTCAATGAGCAACACTCACCATGGATCCGCAAGCTCTGACAGCTTCTATGGCAATTTCATACTGAGGTTGAGCACATTCGGCTACACAGACGATGAGCATTCGCCACAGTGAGAGCGAGCGAGATCGAATACACGACGAGATGATGTCGTTCAGGCGAAGGCGATCTGATAGAATCTAAAAAGCCAAGATCTACTCTTGAACGGACAAGGGACATGTAGAGGCGTTGCAGAGGCCCACATGAACATCGAAGACACATTCCACGTTTGTTATATGGGCTGAGCTAGGCCCGGATTTATGCCGTCTTTATTGATGCATTATTCTTTCCTGAGATGGTGAAGGCAAGGTGTGCACCAAGGTGGGAAGCTCTCAAGGGGAGGGACTGTCAAGCCCGACACCGCCCTCTTTACGACGTGGAAAGTCCATTTAAGTGAGGGATATCAAACTATTTTTTGTCAACTACTAACGCCTACTCTGAGACGGTGAAGGGAAGGCATCAAGGGGAGAGCGCGATAAGCCCGACCCCGCCCTCTTACGAACGTGGAAAGCGTCTTTAAGGAAAAGATATCGAAAACAATTTTCTCATTTCTTCACGCCTTGGGCTTGTACGTTGAGGCCAAGAATACGCATGTTTTCCTTTTAGTGTCGCACCAAAACGGTGCTTAAATTCAGATATGAAATTAACGAACCTTTTTAATGATTCTGACCGCTTCAGCTCGTTGTTCAATTTTCGGGAAGAGAAATGCCTTGTGAAAAAGAGCTTCAAGAACTGAATTCACTGATGGTATACCGGCCATGATTCGGATCAGTTGTTCCAAAATCCTGAATCAGAACGTTCAATTAAACATACACTATCGTGTGGTGGGGAACTGACTTACTGGTAGAGTACGCGAGTTGCTTCAGGATTCGCTACCACTGCCGGACTGAGCGTGAACTTAGCCATTTGACCTTGTCCAAGAGGTTCTTCGGTGCTGATCGAGGGATGGTCCGGGACATTTCTATCAGGAACCCCTAACAAGCGAATCATCAACGGACAGAGCTTTTCCCTGAAAAGAAGAGCGGTTTTGATTGACCAGTGACTGTCAGACGAAAAAGCGAACTGAGTTGTCGTTGAAGGGACCCCTCGGAAATATAGCCCATGCAGATTCTGCTGGCCAAAGTCAGAGCTACGCAGAAGCCTTCCTCCAGTGCGTTCCTCACTGTTTTCACTCTACGATAGAAGATAGAGAAGGGTGGGGGCGCAAGCAATAAGGAATTGAGGAAACATGTGTAAGGGCCTGACTTGCGCCGTGCAGAACGTGCCCTTCGGAGCAGTCTAGCAATGATCTCTAGAAGCACCTGAACCTAGAGGGCCTCCCTCGCCCTCCCGCTGCTGCATTACGCGATTAAAGCAGCTTCTGGAAGCCGTAAGGTCAAGAGAGTTTACCATCTTAGAGAAATCTAGTTAAATCCATGTAAGTGTGAAGAGGGATGGCGAGAGGGGAGGTAGAAAGACCATCATTAGCAGCACTCAAGGCTGCAGATAAGAAGGTTCAGTTGCGGTGTTGCGACAAAAGTGACGTCGCATGTGCTGTCGCGCGCGCGTATACAGTGAAAGCTGCACGTGTTGCAATTTCGTGACAGTTTCTGCGCAGCACCGCAACGTGGACCTCCTGACCACCATCCGCTTAATAGAGAACGCAGAACTGTGCTTACCACAGCAGGTTCACCAGTGGTGTATGCTTCTGAACGCTAAGTGGTTGTGAGCTGAGGAGAGCATTCATGGCGTCGAAAAGGACCACGCTCTGGTCTGACGATACGGTCAGCTGGTCGAGCTTGGCAATGTAGCTTTCGAGCAGTTTCGTCACATCTAGGTACACCGAGAGGAAGTTTTGCGTTTCTTCCTG